TATTCTAAGTATATTTTATGTATACACGCGCACACACACACACACACACATATGTATATATATATATGTCAGTATTAGAGAGCTAGCATAACTTTAAAGAGATAAATTTTTTGTGAGTTTTTATTGCTTAAATATTTTTAGTTAAAAGTAATGTTAGGGCTGGCCGAGTGGCTCAGTTGGTTAAGAGCTCGCTCAAGAGTTTGAGCTCTGAGCAACAGTGGTTTGAGTCCTGGCCCGAGCTGAGCAGTCGCTGAGCTGCTAACAGGTGGCAGGATGGCTCAGCTTAAAAAAAAAAAAGTAATGCTATATAGAAAGTATAAAGCAAGGGACATTTCACTCCAATACAGTTGCAGATTAATCAGGACTTTACCTACTTTTTGTTATTTTGAATATTGCTCCTTAAATCACCAGTTCCTGGCTGATGTACAATAACAGCCATAATAGCAGAAGCCAGTACCTCTTGGTCTTTTTAGACACACACACAAACACACACAAGAAATGCAAAACTTGTACATTAATGTTCATAATAGCATCATAACAGCCAAAAAGTGGAAACAACACAAACGTCCATTATCTGATGAGTGGATCATTCAAATGTACATCTATACAGTGGAATCTTTATTTATCCATTAAAGAGGAATGAAATATTGGTACAACATGGATAAACCTTGAAAACATTGTGCTAAGTGAAAGAAGGCACTCTCAAAAGACTGTGTTGTATGATTCCGTTTATATGAAATACCCAATGTAGCAAATTTATACAGAGAGTAATTTAGTCATTACCTAGGGTGAAGATGGGAGGAAATGGGGAACGACTGCTAATGGGTACAGAGTATTTTTTGGAGTGATAAAATTGTTCCAAAATTAGATTGTGGTGATAATTGTACAACTCTGTAAATACATTAAAAACCATTGAATTGTACACTTACAATGGGTGAATTGTAATGGTGTGAATTATATCTCAATAAAATGATATTTTTTGAAAAAAGAAAAGTTTGCTTTGGATTTCCTAAAGTGAAATAGTAGACAAAAGACATAATTTCTAACCTGTGTAGTGGTGTAGCAACCAGCAGTCTTAATCTTGAAAAACAAAGACCTAATTTTCAACTCCACTGGAGTTCCTTTTTTCTGGAAAAATGTATTCATTTGCTCATTCCTTCAACAAATTAGTGTTTATTGGGCCTTACTGGGTGCCTGACAAGTGTTCTTGGTACCAGGGACTCAATCACATTCCTGATTCTTCTTTTCACACATACAGTCAGCCGCCATGTCACATCAAGCCTATTTCATATCCTTTAGTCTGTCTCTGTGTTCTCTTTCCCTCTACCAGTGTGCTTGTTTTTTTTTACCCAGTTCAGTGATTCTCAGCCACAGTGTTAATAAAGTTTCAAAGTTTGCAAATGTTTTACCTTAGAAAAATTAGAGGAATAATCATGTAAATGTCACTTACACTGACTTGCATTCCATTGTATTTTTGTGAGTGGAAGAGAAAGCAGTAGCATTACAGCTAGTGCGCCAGGAATTACATAGAGTCCTCAGTGCATGTGGGAGCATTTTGTAAATGTGAACTTCATCCATTTTGCATGTCCTCAGTAAAAGTTGAGAATCTGTGAGTTGTTTTAATACAATCACATTTAAAAAAAAAAATCCATGTTGCGCTAGCTTGAATTCTCACTAAATTATCCTTGCCAAAGATCTTTCTTTTTTTTTAACTGAAATACATTTGACATATAACATTATGTAAATTTAAGGTGTATAACATGTTCCTTTGATACATTTATACGTATATTATGATTGCCACTGCAGCAATAATTAGCATCTCTATCACATTACATAATCATTTCACTTTAATGGTTGGAATAATTATGTTCTAGGCTCTTAGCAAGTTTGATGATTATAATACAATATTGTCTGTATTCACTATACCGTGCATTAGATCTCTAGGACTGTATTTACTACTTTTTTCAAGTTCGTGCTATTAAACAACATCTGTCCTATCCCCTGACCTCATCCCCTGGTAACCACCATTTTACTCTCTATTTCCTCTCTGTTTGTCTTTAGATTTCACACACGAGTGATGTATTTGTCTTTCTCTGGCCAACCTTATCTAGCATAATGTCCTCAGGGTCCAGAAAAGTCTTTCTAACCTTCATATTTGATCGGGGCATTCTCCCGGTGAGGTTTCTCCAGTGACTGTGTTACATATAAGAGAAACTGTAAACTTCTTTGCATGATAGGCTAGGTCATTCATGATCTTGCTCCTCTTTATGTGTACAGCTTCGTCTCCAGTAAGGCATATGCTCTCTGTTTCCATGCCTTTACCCATAATTTGTGAGTGGAAAACTCCTTTCACATCTCACCACACATGCACTAACTGCTCTATGAAGTGGACTTAGGTTCCCTACAGAAGCTCCCACTGTGTTTTGTAATAGTGGTTTTCATAATGCGTTATAATTATTTTAGTATCTTATTTTCCTTTTATATTTTTAGCTCCTTGAGAACTGGGATTTTGTCTTTTTATTTTTGTATTCCCAGCTTTTAGCATGGGATCTGGTACATAGTAGATGTTCAGTAAATATTTGCTGAATAAGTTCAAAATGAGTTTCTCCAAAAAATTTAATTTAGCCAAAGTATTTATATATTACAATATGTGATGAAATTAAGGATTAAAAATACTTACGTGTATTTTTACCCATGTTTCTTGGAGCAGTTCCAATCATAAACAGTCTATTGTATTGTCCTTTAAGTATAAATGTAGCTACCAAAATATTATAATTTTTTGTTTGGAAATATATACGTTGAACCTGTACCTTAACTATAAGTATTTACAATTTATTTTTATACTTTGATTTCATGTACTTAATGACCTTTTTCTAATTCACATAACTTTCAAAGCAGTAGACAGTGAAAAGTTATTTAAATCAGTGTCTTTTCCCTCACAATGTATAACTTTTCTACATTACAAAAAAAAAAACAAAGGAACTTTCTCAACCTCCAGCAATTGAATCTACAAACCTACTTGTGTACCCATTTTTCCTTCATTGCATCCTGTTCAATTGTATCATATTAAGACCCTCCCTTGATCCACACCTATCCCCAGTTATTGCTCTGTATGCTTTCACTTTACAGTCAGATTTCCTCTAAGAACTGTCTAGGTTCACTTTATATTCTCCCTTTATTCTTTATGCAATCACTGAAATTTGGCTTTGGTTACTCCACTTCCCTAGAACTGCTCTCACCCACCTGACTGCTAAATCCTATGGCCACACCTCTGTTCTTTCCTTGGTCTCTAACATTGGTCACCTATGACTCTTTCTTAAAAACGTCCCAGTTCTGTGCACCGTACCACCCGTGGCTCCTCCTGCCTCTGTGGCCTTCCTTGTCAGTCTTTCCTTCTTCTGCCTGCCCCTTGAATGTTGATGCTGATGTTGTCTCCTAGGCCCTTTACACATTTTCATTTTCCTCAGGATTTAGGAGGTGCTAAGTGAATACATATATGTTGAATGAACAAATGTGTTTGTATTGATGGTTTCTTGAAAAATTTAACTATAATTGGACCTTGTTAACTGAAGAAATTGCAATATATCATAACTGATCATGCACGTCAAAGCCAAACTTTCGTCGATGATCCTCTTAGACTATTCTGCTGCATACCTGTAGTGAAAAAAAAATGCAAGCTCATTATTCAGATTTTAAGTTCATGAGATTTGGGTAGCTTTTTTTAAGTTGTCTCTATGTAAAAGATCATTACAAAGGTACTTTTAAAGAGCATTCATTATCCCAAATTTTTATAGCAGTTCAACTATTAACAGAAATTTTATAACATAGCTGTCCATCCTTAATAAAATAATACCTCACTTGGAGTAACAATTTAATTTCAGTATACTCTGAAGTTTAGAAGAAAGATATTTTATGCCAGGTACTGGCCTCTGTGTTTGCCTACATTATATATTTTCATCTTCCAGCAACTCTGGGAGATAAATATTCTTAGTCATCTTACAGAGAGGAGAAAAGTGAGGTTAAGGAAAATGAAATAGATTGTACACTGCAGCATACGCAGGTACTGAAATTCAGAACCAGAGCTGTCAGACTTTGCATACATCTCTTCTTTCCATGCATCACTTCTAAATGATACTGAAAATATAAATGGGGGATGAATGCTAAATGTAGAAATAAATGGTGTAAGTACTACTTGAGTGTAGTAAATCTACATTGTGTTAAAAGTTATTGTGTCATTTTTTTCCCTAGGCAGTTATTTGGCAGAAAACTAGAGTATCAGATCATAAGATGGCTCTCATGTCTGTTCTTGGGACCGCTGTTATGAGCAATATGGAATTCTTTCAGTACCACTCTGAAGAATCTCAGGTATACAAAAAATATTCTTTAAAAATTCTAACATCAATGAAACTGTTATTTCTCTTTTGGGCATTTGGAGTCACAAGATCTTTTTTTTTAACATTTTTATGAACTATGTGTATAAGGTAAAAAAGAAAATGTATAAGAGCTTAAACTTCTTTCCCTGGTCCTACTTCCTTTTTTTATCTTTTCTGCTTGTTTTTAATTTCAAATACCATGCTTACATTATTTTTTTTAATGATTTTTAAATTTAGGATCTCATCTATTTACTTGCCACTATGAAAGAAAAAGAGTTGAGTTCTCTTACCTTGTTTTCCTTTTCTCACTCTTAAATATATACTCCATTTTCCTTTTCTTGATCTATCAGCTTCAGGCAGTGCTTCTTGAATCCCTATAATATTGGATGTGGCTATTGATACTCCCACCCTTACTTTTACTTGCCCTTTCCTCTCTCAATCATGTCAGCTCTACTTTTATGTTATCAAGATTAATAATCTATTTTCTTATGTAACCATTTTTAAGTCTTCCATCTTTTGTTTGACGATTGATTCTAAAAGTTGAAATTTTATATGGAGTTTACATTACTATAACTATAAATAATCTTTGTTGCAAACCCAAAGTATTATGCTAGTATTACGTTTCCTCTCTAAGGATCCAGTGTTCTGTATCTGTGCCCTACAAATGAGAATATTCCTGCTGTCCCAATTACATGGGATCTCTTTGTTTTTCTTCCATCAATTGCTCAAATTGTCATGTTTTCCTTTGCTTTATATGTGGACTATCTTATATAGTGTTTTTTATTTTTCTGGGCTTTCCAAAAGTTTGTTTTTTTTGTAAGTGAAGAAATTTTCTTCACCATCAGCAATAAAATCCAGCTAGTTGAATTTTTCTAGCTATAACTAGTAATCAATTTCATTCGATTCTTTTTGAACTATTATTAGTAGAACCCACTTATTTCTTATTTGGATTGAGTACATGTCAGGCATTCTGCACAACTTTCATCTTGGGATTTCTTTTCATAGAAGTACTGGTTATTTCCACTATTTCTTGTATCTCATGCCTTCCTTTCTTGGTACTCATCTCATTTTCTGATATACATCTTTAAGTAACTCCCACAGAAAGGGAACATGAGACTTTATTTTGCACTTTCTCCCGTTGGTAGTCTGGTAGATGTAGAATTCTAGATTGAAAATATATTTTCTTTAGAACTTTGAAGACATTTGAATATTTTGACCATCCATTGTTGCTGATGGGAAGATTAATGCATTCCAGTTCTTTCTTTCTAGGCAATGTGTTTTTTTCTATCTGAAAGTTCTTAGGAGCTTTCCTTCCTCTTTATTCTTAAATTTTCCAAGGATGTGTGTAGGTGTGTGTCTTTTATTATTGCTGAACACGTGGTGTGAGACCTTTTGAATCTGTAGACTCATTTGTTTTTCAGCTCTGGGTTATGTACTTCCGTCTGTCATCACTTTGATAATTTTTCTGTTTTTTAATGAAGCTCTGTATTGTTGATTAGGACCTCCTCTTGTTTTTCTCAAGTTTTTCATCTTTTTTTTTTCCTATAAGTTTTTGGAGATCTCTGATTCTTTTATTCCTTCTACTGATTTTTTTTTATTCTGAAGATTTTATGTTTAATTTCCAAGAGCATTTAAACATTGTATTGCTTTTTCATAACTACTTATTGTTGTTTTATGGATACAGAATCTTGAATCTCTCTGAAGATACTAAGTTTTTGTTTCTGTTTTTTAAATTTATTTGTTTCTTAAATTATCTTTTATTCTTAGGAAATCAGTTTTGTTTTGCTTATCGGGTCTTTTTCCTCCAAGCCTCTCATTTTCTTGCTATCTTTTCCTCTGTGGCTGAGCTCATTGACTGTCAGGCTCCACTTGAGTGTTAAGTAATCAAGATCCTGGCCCTATTTCTAGAGTCTGGGGGAATCACAAGTGTCATTATGGGGAGGGGGCTTACTCTGCTACCATACTCACTGCCCTAAGTAATTCATTTTGTCTCCCCTCCCCCCCATTCTCTTCCATCCTTCTCTCTCTCTCTCTCTCTCTCTCTCTCTCTCTCTCTCTCTCTCTCTCTCTCTCTCTCTCTCTCATAATATTAAATTGTAATTGGTTCATAACACATTGTTCTTATTCATTTCTATATGGAAGATCTCTTTTCTTGTTCTTGTTTGTCTGCTGACATTAAGCCTAGAGACTCTGTTCTACTCTTCCCATTTTTCATAATTTGTTGAAATCTCTTTTCTGCTACTACTCTCCTATTCTCTTTGCAGTATTGAGTTCTCAATTATTATCATTTTAGTAGAGTCTTGGATGGAAGCTTGTGCTCATTTAATGTTTTAGGGGTTCTCTCTGCTTGAGGAGCAATTCAGGCTAGCCTTAGTAGCCAGCTACAGTGCCTGGATGATCTGACATGGGTCCTGTTTTTCAGAGCTTCCTTAGTATTGGTTTAATAGTTTCAACACACTCCAGGGCCGCCTTAGACTGGTTACAGTGGCTGACTTGGCATAATAAGGGTACTGTCCTTACTGTCCCCTGGGCTCTGTGTGGCTTCATGGACTTTGTTGCTTACACTGGTAACCCAGGAAGCTTGTGATAGGAGATCTAGACTTGATGTCTGTGGTACCGTGCTCTAGAGATTCTAACTGCTATAGTTTGGTCTGAAAAACCAGCAGCATTGGCATCATCTGGAAGCTAATTGTTAGAAACGAAGAATCTCACACCTCATCCGAGACACAATGAATCAGAATCTGCATTTTAACATGGTCTCTAAGTGCATGCTAAAGTGTGGAAAGCACTGATTTAGACCTTGTCAACTAATGACTCCATGTGTGGGTGGGACTATCACATGTGTCAATTCTACACTTGGGAATTTTTTTCTGATTTATATTGAAATGTGTTGCCAAATTCATGCTTGCCCACTGATATTTTAATTTTTTTCTTGAGGTAGAATTGCATAAGGGCTGCTGGTAATCTTTCATAGATACCAAAACTTTTGCTGCACTTTCATGTGGTTATTTTGGCCTGGAGGAATAGGGGAATTTGGAAAGCATGTTTTCCTGAGTAGTTCCAGTTCCACAGACTGTCAGAATGGTAAACAACTGAGTGTCTCTCTGGTGAGAGCAGTTATCTAACCAAATGCCCTCTTGTGTGTGCACTGTGTCTAAATGGGCATTCTTTTATGTTGCCACCAGCTGCCCATCACCATTCCATGCTCCTAAGGAGAGTTGTTCTGTGTCAGAGTTTCTTTGACCGCTTCTCATTTCTGGCCAAAAGCAATCTTGAGTTGTTTGCCAACTGCTAGTGGTTGCCCCTCTCACCCCCACCGCACCCCTGCTGTGGCGGCATATTGTTTTTGTTGTTTTGATTTTTCCTGTCCCTCCCTCTACGTTCCTCCCCATAGTTTGACATATGCCACCCAGCTCCCATCCCCAGTTCAAAGTCAGATGTTGCGTTGGTAGTTTATGCCTTTCATCCTGCCAAGATTTTAGAGAGCCCTCTTCCTAGCCGACATGGCTTAGACTTCTTGGTTTTGCAGTTGTCTGGGGACTTCCTTGTGACCTTGTAAGCAGCTTCCAACAGTGGCCACAGTATGTTTAAGCATCTTGGGGGAGGGAGGTGGCGCCTTAACTGCCCGATCACGTGGAAAGGCTGGCTTCAATTCCCTGCCTTGTATGGGGTGTTTTCTGTCCCTGTGTTCACACCAGAATTTAATTTCTAGACTAGAACACACAGATAGGGCTTTTGACTTCAGCCTTCATGTCATATTTTGTATTGCACACATAACATGTTCATATTTTTTTAAAAAGTTTAGGTCTTTCAAAATTTTTGTAAAAACTGACTTATCACTGCTGTCTGTTTACAGCTGAGATGGGGGAGAAGGGAATTTCTACATGACTTATTTCACTATCCTGACCAAAAATACTTAAATTATTACTTTAGAAACATATCTCCATGGTGTTCTAGAAGTTTATTGAAATGGGAGAAAAACTAGTTTTAAGAGACCAGGCAGGTTTACTTCAAGGGGAGAGGAGCGGAGATAGGTTTGGCTGATGGGTAGTAGCAGGGTTCTTTATCATAGTGAAGGCACACGGGAGGAGCCTGTCGGACAGCAGGGCAGAAGTGGAATGAAACAGTTGATCACGTTTTGAATGTGGTGAGATGGAGAGGATTTTTGTGACAGCTGATTGAAGATAGTAAGCATTTGGGTATGAAAGAAATAGGGCTGTACATCTCTCGCTTAGCATCACTGGTGTATGTGTATAGATGTAAATAAAATTACTCAAGGAGAGTAGAGAATAAGAAAAAACAGTGATAGAATGGGGTGGTGGGGGGGACCATCATCACTATAGAGGATAAGCAAAGGGATAGAAACCAGCAAACCAGACTAAAGAGGAAGTGTTAGAGAGGAGGCAGAAAAACCAAAAGAGAAGGCTGAAAGAGGCTTATGCTTCCAACAGAGACAGTTTTCATTGGTGTCAGGGTCTGCAGAGATTCAAATAAGAGCGGAGGACTAAGTGTCCATTGGAGTTGGTCATTGAGGTAGAAGCCAGGTTATAGTAGGGATGGAGATGAAGGGGAGGAGCGAGAAGCCCATAGTTGAAAAGCAAAAAGGGGAGAAGCATTTGTTTATATTCTGTCTTTGATTTTTGTTTTGCCTTTTAGGTTGAGGAATACTTGAGTACAGAATCTTGTAGGGTCTATTGTGTTTTTTTTTCATTCTTTTTTTTCTTCTCATATATAATTACTTTATTTTTAATTAAAATTTATTGGGGTGACAATGGTTAGCAAAGTTACATAGGTTTTAGGTGTACAATTCTGTAATACATCATCTATATATCATATTGTGTATTCATGTGTGTGTGTGTGTGTGTGTGTGTGTGTGTGTGTGTGGTAGATGAGAGTAAAACAGATCAAATATATGATCTATTTTTTATTTTGTACTGATTTGGTGTCAGACATTCTGTTTCCATAAACTAGCCTGATTTTCACTTTTTATAGCATTTTGTAAGACTTTGCTGTTTGATTTTCCTTTTTCATAAATTTAGAGTGTGAGTTCTTAAGGTTACCCTAAGCCATTTTTAAAACCTCAGTTATTTTGGAAGTAGTAGTAATTATTCACTAGCCAACCCAGATTGTGTGAAAGGGAAACACTAGCAATATTACCAATTTCTTTTTTATTTTATTCTTCTTAATTACCTATTTGGGGCAGGGTTGTTTTTTTTTTTTTTTT